CCCCAGTGCTGGGATTATAGATGTGTGCCATCATGCCTGATTTTGGTGGCCAGCTCGGGGCAGGGCTGGCATGGTGTGCAGTACTGAGGATTGAGCGGTCATCAGTATTGTCAGGATCCTGGAGCCACCATACCTTTGAGACTTGGCAGCCCCTGTGGGAAGGGAAGGGGAACCCCAGGACAGCCCAAGAGGGTTCTGCTCCCACCATCTGAGCTATTCATGCTGCATCCCTACCAACCCAAGCCAGGGTACATGGAAGCCAGGGATACCTATGACCTGGAGCTGAAAGTATCCCAGATCCTTGCACTCAGCCACCCTAGGCTCACCACTGACATGAAGAGTGATGGTCACCCTGGTCATGGTAACAGCCACAGTCTAGTCTCCTTGGAGGCCCCTTACATGCCCTTCCATGGGCTCTCAAGAGCATCCATAGGAAGTCCTTCCTGTTCATTGCCCTCATCAGGTGACATCCTGAGTCTGGCCCACTACCAGGAAGTCTGCATCCTTTAACATCACACTCTTGTTGGAGGAGACACAGAAACTGCAGGCTAAAACCAGACCAAAGAGCAGTGCAGGCTGTGAGGGTGGGCCTGGAAGCTCTTCCATTTGTCTATCTGGTCAGCCAGGCTGTTCAGGACCAGTACCAGACAAGACATGGAAAAGTGAAGACTTGTTGTCAATGCTGTGTCTGTGGACTGTGTTCCTAAAATGTGAGGTCCTCAAGACCCATGGGACATGTCTTGTGCCACCCAGCTGAGGCCTTGCCTGGACACCCCAGAAGGCCTTGCTCATGCAGTGATACCCCTATCTTTATCCTTAACACTTGGTCTTTCTTAGCCCACCCACTCCACTAAAACTTGTCATATTTCTTGTCATCTGAGAGTTGTCTTGATCCCCCGGTTGAGTCCTAGCTGAGGTTGGAGCAAGCCCCTGTCTCCTGGGGATATGTTGTTATAACCAACACCCACGGATGGACAGCGAGGGACACCTGGGCCCACAACAGAAGTCCCAGTGCCTCAGCCTTGCTTAGGAGCACAGTGACATCCCCATGCCCTGGGGAATGCTGGATCTGAGGGATGGAAGTCACCCAGGGGCTCAGGATCAGGACTGGAATGGGCCTTGAAAATAGAGGTTCTGGGTGCAAGAAGTTGCAAAGCTCTGTGAAATTGGGCCGATGAAGGAGGAAAGACAGCTGTGATGGTGGAAAATAGGACACAGTAGGACATACCAGGAAGGACAGGGGTGAGAGGGCTTCATGAATGCTTTCAGTAAGTAGAGGGACATGCCTTATAGACCCCATGACCTGCCCAGGTAACCAAGAAGTACATGAGCCCCAGCAGCCAGGAATCCATAACACCTCGGTTCCTAAAGGTGAATTTCCTTGCTTGAGTCAAAAATCTTGCCTTAACAGTTTGGATGATGTGAGAAAGCAGATGGTTATGAGGAGGGGGTGGTGCTGGAGGGGAGGGAAGCATGGAAGGAAATATGGGGAGACTTAGGCAAACCCCGCACACCTACCACCCTCAGCACAGCCTGGCACAGTCCTGCAGCACTGTGCACGATGGGGAGTGTGGAGACAGTAGGGTGCGTTCTCTGCACCCCACCCCAGTTTATGAACATATGCTGTAAGCGCTAGACTATATGACATGGGGCATAATGGCAGGAGAACTGAGAGAGAAATTAGCAAGAGGAAAACTCAGACACAGCACCGTGGAAGATTGCACTGGCTGCAAAGAATGTGGAGGATGCCAAGGGAGGGAGAGAGCACAAGGTCTGCACAGACGTGGACAAGAGGCTGGGAGTGGCAGCAGCACACAGTACAGAGGAGGCAGAGACCCTGCCTTGTTCCTGTGGAGAAGGAGGAGGAGTCTGTTCCTGTATGTGCATGTGTATGTGTGTGCATTGGGTGGGAGGGAGACAGACAGACACAATAGATGGAGGAGTGTGTGTGTGTGTGTGTGTGTGTGTGTGTTTTCATTTATACATTGGATACAGGGTCTCACTATGCAACTTCGACTTGTAGTGATCTTCCTGCCTTCAGCCTCTCCAGCGCTGGGATTACAGGCATGTGCTGCAATGCCCAGACCCAGTCGTCAGCTCAGAGCACCTGGGGGCATGGTCAGGGCAGCATGTGGTGCTGGGGATCAAACCCCAGTCCCTGTGCTTTCCTAAGCAGGGGCTTAGTCCGCTGAGCTATCTTGCCAGCCATGAGTGTGATTTTGAGAGTATGCCCATGCGTGCTTCTGTGTGTGCATACTGAAGAATGTGTGTGAGTGAATGTGTGTGTGCATATGTGTATATGTGTAGACAGGGACACGAGGTACAGTAAGCAGCACCAGTGAGAGCACTAGAGCACTTCGGAGTGTTGGCAGCCAGCCAGGAGGACAGCCCAGAGAGGGAAGCCATAGTTCCATGGTTTTCCAAGGCACGTGGTGCAAAACAAGTCTTACGGTGCTTATCTGTCTGTGTGTAAGTAGATAGATGCAGACAAGAGAGAGAATTATAGGTACAGTTGACACTCGGCACCCTCTCCTTACAATTTTCTATCTTTTCTCCTACAGCATTCCTTCATCTTCTTATTCTCGCTGATTGAAATCTTCCTCAGACCTCATCGTTATCCATCGAAGAAGACAGGATTTGCCCTGTTGGCTGTAGGTAGCCTCGGTTATATCAGCAGGTAGGAATTCCATAGAGGTTGTCCACTTAAGCTTGCCACTCACAGCCTTGAAGCATATTCCATAAAATCATATCACCCTATCAGAGTCCATTTATGCTGATTTAATGGGGATTTGATCATCTTTAAGTTTCCAGGTAAGGATTCTCATTGGTTTGATATTTTTTTTCATACTGGGGATTAAAATCAAAGCCTTTGCACTGAGCTATATCCTAACCCTTTTTATTTTTTATTTTGAGATGTGGTCTCACTAAATCACTAAGCTTCCCAGGCTGGACTAGAACTTGTGATCCTCTTTTCTCACCCTCATATAGTGCTAGAATTACAGACATGCGCCATTCCCATCCCCCAGCTTATTTATTCCTTGACTTAGAAGTATATGGAGGCTCCCGTGCAAAGCAAAACATGGGCTTGGGAGCTGGCTCAGTGGTCTAATTGCCTGCCTAGCAAGCTCAAGGACCTGGGTTCGATCCCTGCTACTGCATGCCATGCACGACTATAATCCCAGTGCTGGGGAGGCTGAGACAGGTTGATCATTATGAGTCCTTGCTGCATAGTGAGATCATGTGCAATATATATAGTTCAGTGGACTAAGCACCTGCATAGGCAAGTGTAGGGATCAGAGAGTTCCATCCCTGGCACAACAGGCCATGCCAGCCCTGCCCCTGGGCATGCTGAGCCAGCCACTGAGACCGGGGATGGTGTTACCTGCCAGTGATCCCAGTGCTGGGGAGACTGAGAACAGGAAGATCACTGTAAGTCCAAGCTGTGTAGTGAGACCCTGTACCAAATACTTGAAAACAAAACAAAGGACACACACACACACACACACACACACACAGGCGTTGCACACAAGTCACAACTTCCTTTCTCTCCCTCATAAAGAATCTTACAAAGCCATACCTGTTTGTTTCCCAAGAAAAATTTATCTTTGGTTTCATTCACAATCCAAATGTTGGAATGGCTGAATGATCTGAGACATCTAACACATACCCTGCCTAGAAAGGCATGTGACAGGGGGAGGTGCTAGCTTGGGTCATTCCTGTTGCCACATCTGTATGAGGTGGTTTGCATCCACACTGGCATTAGCAAACAGAGTGTTGTTTGTACCATCACCAAAAGGCCACAGCTGAGTCTTACTGGGGCATGGGAGACACCCAAGTATCTGGCCTGGATTTCATTGTTCAACCACCTGTAGTTCTCATTCCCAGAAATGTTGCCTTATGATCTGTGGTCAGGGAAGGTGCCTGAACTCCCACTAGTGCCCCACCAGAAGCCTCCCTTTGTGTTCTGTAGCCTTTTCCTCTAGCACTGCACCTTTGCTCTGAAAGGGCTGTACTGAGGTCTCCTGCTCAGAAGCCAGTCAGTGTTTCTCCTCTTGTCCCACCCAAGCTGTCCA